TGACAAGGGGCTGTTTCAGTTGGGAACATTCTGTCTTTTCAAGCTACCACACCCCACAATAAAGCAATGTTCATTTCTTGCTCCACAGCCCCGATTCACTCATTCATTGACTTGAAGAAATTCAACAACAAGAACCTTGAATTTTAACTTATTTTAATTTATTTATCTTATTTTTTTTGAGACAGTGTCTCACTACATAGTTCACACTAGTCTTGAACCTACTATATAACATGGGCTGGTCTTGAACTTTCAGCAATCCTCCTGCCTCAGTCGCTCAATTATTGAGATTATAGAAGTATGCTACTCTACCACGCTTCACTGGAATCTTGAATTTTAAAAGAAATAATGCAGATAATTGGTATTTGTGTTACCAAAGTACTTTTCTTTACATATATTAATTAATTAGTTATTTTAAGTGGTACTTAGGATTGAACTCAGGACTTTCACACTGAGCCAGTAAGCTACATCTTTGGCTCTCTCTCTATCTCTGTCTCTGTCTCTCTCTCTCTCTTTCTCTCTCTTTCATTTTGACACAGGACCTCATTAAGTTGTTAAATTGTCCAGGCTGAAGTCCAACTTGTAATTCTCCTCACAAAGTGCTGAGATTCAGGTTGTTATCATTTGTGTGTGGATGTCCCCCCCCAAAGCCTCATGCAGTCATGGTGGCAGGTTTCTAGGTTTGTGATTGATTCGTGGTCCAATGTTAAGATTATGGGTATGAGTGTTACACCCACCCAGGGCGGGTAGCCTACACATAATATAAGCAACAGAAAAAAATCTTCTCTTGTACTTCTCTCTCTTTGCTTTCGTTGTTTTTGCTGTCTTCTGTTGCCATGAACTGTAATCCTCTGCCACGCACTACTCTGCCTTGGAGGCAGCCAAGTATGGACTGAAACCTCCACAAACTGTGAGCTAAATAAACTTTTCCTTCCCTAATTTTGGGTGTTAGGTATTTTGTCTCAGCAATAAGAGAAAAGTAACCAGGACAGAATTTGGTACCATAGAAGTGGGGTTGTTGCTGTAACTATGCCTGACCTGTGGTTCAAAAGCCTTTAAGAATGGCTTATGGGAAGAGTTTAGAAAGTTTGAGAGGTGTTGCCTGAAAGAGTAGAACTGGAACACCTTAGGCTGCTCTGTTTGGGAGATTCCAGTCAGAGCTCAGAAAGCCAGGAGACTGATAGAAATTCTGCCAATAAAGACCAGGCTTAAGAGGTTTCTGTTGGGAAGAAGAACTGTATTGGTTGTTAGAATACAGATGACATATGTTATGGCTTGGCACAAAGTTTGTCTGCATTTTGCTCATGTCCAGAGATTTTGCCTGGGACTAAGATTCAGAGAAGTGGACTAATTAATCTGGCAGAAAAAAATCTCAAGTGCGGTTAATGTTGGGGGTGGTGGCATGGCCATTGTTGAGGGGTTTTAGCCAGATTTATGTTGAGAACCAAGAGCAAAGAGCCCAGAAGGATGATTTAAAATGTTGTGAATTTGGTCAGAAAAAAAAGCTCCAGTAATACTATGAACTCTAAAGACAGAGCTGAGGAGATCTACATTGCTGAGATGGAACAGGAGCATACAAAAGATGGCCCAGGGACATCACAAGAAGCAGCAAGTCTCCTCCCTTTGCAGCCTCAAAACTGCAGAAGTGACAGACTTTGCATTGAGGAGAAAATCACAGAGCACCATGTTCTGGAATGGCAGCAGCCACATTATGTTCCAGGATGGTGGCAGAGTGCACACCAGGTTCCAAAATGGTGGCAATCACACCAGGTTTCAGAAAGGTAGCAACATAGAGAATTTGTTTCTCAGAATCAAGGTCGGAGTGCCCAGTGATCCAGGCACTTGACATTTAGGGCCAAAAGAGAGGAAAGACTGGTTCAGCAGGCAGCAGACCTCAGCATCATCCAAGCAGTGCTTGTTTTAGGTATATGCAGAATGCAAGAATTCAGAGGTTAAAAGACTTCCACATTGATTTCATCAGAAGGCCTGGGAACACAGTGTGCCCCTGAGAGGGCAGTGTGTGAAGCTATGAGGGTAAAGCCAAGTGTGTAGTGGAGAACCCAGAAGTTTAGAAGACCCAAGAATGTGGATAGAAAATTGCAAGGACTGAGCAAAGTGGGCCTAAAAGAGAAGCCATGGGAGCTACAACCGCCGTAAGTGCCATAGGGGCAGAGTCATACAAGCTTTTTGGAGCTCACAATTTGCCACAGATTGCTTTGGTATTCCACATGGAACTACAGGACTTAATTGCCTTGCTAGATTTTGGACTTGCTTTTGTTCCAGTCTTTTGAGTTCCCCTGTTTGTACCTTTTGGGACGAAATGTTTATCTTGTGCCATTGAAAGTTGTAAGTGTTTAACATTTCATTTGTACAGGGGCTCACAGCTGGCAGTTTGCCTTAAATCTCAGAGTAGATTTTAGACTTGGACTTTTCAGCAATGCTGAAACTGTTAGGACTTTGGCAACTCTTAGAGATGGACTAAATGTCTTTTGCATAAAAGATGTGCATGAGTCTTGGGGAGGGTTCAGGGGCAGAATGTTATGGTTTGTGTCTGGATGTCCTGCAAAGCCTCGTGTGGTCATGGTGGCAGACTTCTAGAGTTTGTGACTGATTCACAAAATCCAATGCTGGAATTATGAGTGCTACACCCACTCTAGGATGGGTGACTGACTTACAATATAAGGGACAGAGTCTTCTCTTTCTTTTTGCTCTTGTTGTTTCTACTGTCTTCCAGCCACCATGAACTAACTGTTGCCCTCTGCCATGTGCTACTCTGCCTTGGAGCCAGCCAAGTATGGACTGAAACCTCCACAAACTGTGAGCTAAATACACCTTTCCCTCCTTCATTGTGGGCATCAAGTATTTTGTCCCAACAACAAGGGAAAAGTAACCAAGACACAAGTGTCTGTCACCATGCTGAGCTATAGATTTATTTTAAATAATCAGCTACTAAACATGTGCTTGCTTTATTACAATTATGTTATCATAAAATTGTTCAGAAACACATGGTTGGTAGCAAGTCAGGTGGACCCACTAATAATTACCACCCTGGAATCCTCCAGGTCCCTCCTGAGCTGACCTCATGTTTCCAGCCCCAGTAGCCTCTCTCAGTCACGTTCATACTATTCATAACTCCCCATGTACCACCATTCTTGCCACTGAGCTACCTAGCTCAGCATTTTCTTTGGCACTAATTAAATCCTTTCCTTGTTGCTCATCATCATTTTTCCCCCTACTCATCATGCTTTAGCTGACTTGTGCATTCTGGAGTTTCCCAGAGTTTACTCCTGAACATCTGCTTCAAGCCAGCCTACTTACTTTCTTTGTTTGGGCAGATATAACAAAATATTATAGACGGGATGGCTTCTAAGTAACAGAAATGCTTTTCTCATGGTTCTGAAGACTAACAAGTCCAGGACCAAGGCACTGGCAGATTTTGTGTCAAGTAAAGGCCCACTTTCTGATTTATAGATGGCTCCTTCTCTGTGTATCCTGATATAGTAAAAGGGATAAAGCAGCTGTTGAGGTTTCTTTTAAAAAGCACTAATCCCATCCATGAGGAACTCTCCCTTCATGATTTAGTCACCTCTAAAAGACCTCATCTCCTAATACCATTACCTTGGAGATTACAGTTTCAACACATGATTTGTGGTTGACACAAACATTCAGGCCACAGCAAAACTCAACATCAAAATGAGCCCTGATCCCTTAGTCTACATTATCATCATCATCACTGTTGTTTTGAAATTGAAGTGAAGATTTTCCCTGAAACTTAACACTGAAGCTCCACTCTCTCCTTGCTTCCTTCTAAATTTTAGCAGATGAAATAAACACTCTGTGCTCCATAGATGATATGTAGTTTTACATTGTCACAGAGATAAATTGAATTTGCAATTTTACGAACAAGAAAAATTGGATTTCTCACTTGAATATATTCTTCAGAGAAAGGTGCTTAACATTCTAGAATGATGTTATTGATTTGTTGTCAAAGGAAATAATGCTATTCTTAATTAACTTCTTTAAAAATGTGCCCTGTTCTTAAAAGGGAAAAGAAATCCATTTTTCATGAGATATCTCAATACTTCAAAAGTCCTGCTAGAAATATAGTTTTGATTCTAAATCAATTAAAGAAATACGTATGACATTTTTACACAGGTGAAGATCTTCAGGAATTTTTACATCTATGATCTATAGGGTTTGGCTTTTATACATTCTCATACTAAAGTACCAGTAATTAGGCCATTTTGGTAGTAGAAATCTTATCTTAATACAGGAAGTTGACCTGAAAAGAAACAAAAATAGAATTTTTTCCCATGAAAAGTGTACATATACTTTCAAAATTTGTCTAACTTGCCATAAGGCTGCAATCTATGGCAGTCAGTACTGTTGGGATATTTCTATCATCTTCCTAAAGTTACGGAGGTGAAACTCTTTATAAAATAGTCATTTCACCAGAGAGCTAGTGTGACTTGTCTCAACTGACATTCACAGCTGGTCACACAAAAAGATGAATTTCCAGACTTTAGTATTCTGTAGTTTCATACACAGAAAGAAAGCAGGAGGAAAATTCTCATTTTCCTTTTCATTTTCTACTGTTTGCCCGTGGCTACTGTTTTAATCTCAGACTAATTCTCAAGTTCAAACCTCTTGTTAATTTTAATATCTTTTCCACAGCTTCAATTTTTAAAGAGGAGTTAAGGTAGCCATATGACCTATGAGAATGTTAAAACTTTTATAGTTAATTTTTAAAAATTTACTCTATAATGCTCCCTGTTTTCAGCTACATTAAAGACAAAGTTAACTTGTCTTTTCAAATTCAGAATGACAGTTTTCTTGGTTTTTATGAAATTAATACATAGATTATATAATTATTCTACTTACTTTAGCACCTTTAAAAATCATTACAAATATGGTAAATTTTAATTGTTCATGGAAATCAACGTATGTGCAAATAACCTAAAATCTATTTTCATTCTCTACAATTTGCATTTTTACATTTCAGATTTGCTTAGGTAGCAATAAGACATGAAATCACATTGCTAATTGCTTAAGTACATAAAGTAATTTTAAGAGATTCAGAGCTATAAACAATTTTCATAAAATAAATGTCTGTTAGAATGTTCCATGATTGTAGGAGAGTGTGTAGAAGAGACAGAAATTTCCCCTGGGCTTATTTGGGGGACGATATTGACAGCAGATGGAAAGCTGGAATATTCTCTATGAATTATTATTTTTATTCAATTCTCTCCTGGCTCATAGTTATTATTTTGTTACCTGTGTATGAACAAAAAATGTAAATAACTGCATGATATGAAATTGTGTTTTTTCTCTTCCTTTTTCTTTCAGAATGTAATTTCAGGGTGACCCCTGAGAAGTCAGATGTCTCAAGTAGGCTTAGTGGTGCATTGCACAGTAATCACTGCCTTACACCAGTTTGCAAATTTAGGGTACCAAACTTAAAGCTGAAGTTCCCCTAAAACTTATCCAGTCATCTTCACTCATTGCATAGATGAGAAAGTGAAGCTCCCAAGATGCTAAGTGACTTACCCTGTGTCACTTAGCATAGTTAAGTGTTTGGACTTCTCAACTAGGCTTCCTCCCCTCAAATGTTCCTTCCAATTTCCATCTCAGAGTTACCTTTTATGAAAGCAACTCATGGGTTTCTCTGTCCCAGAAGGAGAGTCTAACAGATGGATGTGGCAAGAAGATATGGAGATGGTCAAATATTTGAAGAGACCACAGTCTGCTGTAGGGTCAAAATCATGAGTAGTTAGGTCTCCAGAACTCAGTTCTTCCTGTGAAAAGTTGCCATAATTTTGTTGCTTGTCCTCACTGAGCCCAAAGATCTTCACCTGTAAGACAGAAAGGTAAGTGAATGACTGAGTGAAGCAAAAGAGTAGATGGAAGCAGCTGGTTCAATACTGTTCAATTGCAACTGACTGCTAATTCAGGTACACAAGTAAATGAAAGCAGGGGATTCATAATTTATATCTTGATTCCTTTTCTCAGTGAACTGTCCCAATGTACTAATGAAGTATTTACTGAGCACTTACTATGTGCAAACCAGACCAAGTATAAAAGCTAAAATGGTAACAAAAAGGCGTGATCCCTACTGTTAAGCAATTTTACAGACTCATGAAAGGGATGAAATGAGCAGATGACAACCTGCCATGATGACAGAACCTCGAAGAGAAGACCTTCACCTAGGAGATTCCCAAGGCTCCTTAGAGAGAACCACTCAGGAGGATTCACCAAATGGAGATGAATGGGTGCAGTGTTTGAGGGAGAAAAAATCCAATGTGATGACCCAGAGTTGAAAAAGTTTGGTGTTCTACAGAAAATGAAAAAAATTGATTTGTTGCAACCAGAAGGTGAAGGCTGGAGATTCAGCAGAGGAAGAAGTCAGGTACACCAGGCCTTGTAAGGCCCCTCCAATTCACTTGAACTTCACCCTAACAACAGGAAACTTCAATGAATTCTAAGTGACAGAGTGAAGTAATAATATACATGGCCTTAAAATTTTTTGGTAAGGCAAGATTGAACCCAGGGCTTTGCTCTACAGTATATCCCCAACTTTTCATTTTTAAAATTTATTTGTTTATTTATTTGAGACACAGTCTCAATTGCTAAATTGCCCTCAGTCTGAGCTCAAATTTGCAATCTTCCTGCCTCAGTCTCCCAGAGTGATAGGATTACAAGGGTACACCATGAGACCCAGTTATAAATGGTTTTCTTCTTGAGGAATAAGAATTTTTTTAAACTCTGAGGATATTTTCCCTATTGGCATAATCATACTTAAGTATATTCACCTCAATATTTAAACAATGCAATCTCTTTTCTCCAAAATCCATGTAAATCATCTCACCAATTATATTCACTTCCACTGGGCCTTTATCTTTAAAAAATTACATAGGCAAATTGCTTGATCTTTATTTGAAATGATGACAGGGTCCATAATCACAGGTGACCAGACAGGGTATAAAAATATTGATGGAATAAAAGCATGCCCAATGAAATTGCAGTTAAAACTTCCAGCATTCAAATTAAGAAGAAGCAACAGAAACAGTTGGAAGAGAGCACCAAGGAGGAAATAAATGAAAGGCAACATGGAAAATACCATATCCTAAACTGTGAGCCCTTTAAAACAACCACACCCAGCCTATTTGTGAGGAGCAGGCAGCTGTGGAAAGCTGGAGCACCGTTCCTGAGTCTTGCCAGATAAACGAGGCCAGACGAAGCAAACCTGGCATTAGTGGAAAAAAGACAAATTTGTATTTGCCAGGAGTGATGCCGTAACAAACTGTTCCTGAACCTCCGCCCAGAACTGGCCTCTGCCAGCGCACCTGTGGTGAGACTCCGGGATGAGGGCAGGGGACTCGAGGCTCCACACTGTACACTGGGCTTGCGAAGAGCACCTCACTTTGGTGTCTGAACCCCTCTAGAAAGTGAGAGATCTTTGCATGGAGTAAACTTTCCATTCTGTGTTTTTTCCCCATTGTAAAATTTGTGAACCGCTTTCTAGCCAGATTCTATGATCTTAACAACCTATAAAACAAACAGAAACAATAATCATTTGCATTTACAGAGTACTTTTGCTTTTAGAAGTACAAAGCTTCAGGTTTTAAGCCTTGTGTTCTTTAAAGAAAACACTTCCCTCAAGTTGAAGCTTTTATTTTAGCAAATCAAAGGATATATGGACCACAAACAATGGGGATGGTGACAGATAGAGAGGAAAAAGAAGAACATTTCCATTCTCTCAATCCTTCACCATTCTACTTTCTATCTCGGTGTCTTGATTATTCTATGTCTCTCACTATGGTAAATACACAATCTTTGTCTTTTTATGAGTGAATTACTTAATTTAGTATAATGTTCCCAACATTGATCCACATTGTGGCATATATTAAAATTTTACTTTTACTTTAAGATCAACTTTACTTTAAGATCAACTAATATTCCATTGTACCTTGCATTCTGTTTATCTGTTCATTTGTCAGTGGACACTTGGCTTGTTTCCACTTTTTGGTGGTGGATAATGGTGCTATAAGCATGGGTGCACAAATTCCTATTCAGGATCCTGCTTTCAGTTCTGTTGGATGTATTCGTTGATTAGAGTCTTGAGGTTTTAACATTTTTCTTTTAATTGCAAGGATGCTGAAGAATAGCCTAACTTCTCTCTTGGTTACCTGTTATCAAAAGCTAAACTCAGGGCTGGGGATTTAGCTCAGTGGCTTACGCACTTCCCTGGTAAGCACAAAGTCATGAGTTCAATCTCTAGTACCAAAAATAAAAATAAAATAAATAAACCCAGTAATTCAATAGAGAAAAACCCAGTGCCAGTCAGCACTCTTTGATTACCTGTACCAGAAACGAACCTGTCTCCATCTAAGCCCAACAAGAGTAACTGAAAGGTTTGAGAGCATCTTACAGAACTCAGTGAAGAATCCACCCTACTGGCTATTAGGAAAAATGGGAACCAGACTACGAATGTCCTCGGACCCTCCACCCCTCCACTCTCTCTCCACTCTCCTGCCTGCATATGCCTGCTTGGGTTTTTTCTCTCTGCACATCAGTTCCACTTGGGAAGAAATTGGCATCCAGCTCCCCTCACTGTCACATCTGTGACTCCAGTCCCCATAAACAGACTGGCCCAATTCTTTCTCAGTCCCAGATCCAAAAATCTCAAAGGAGAGACGTATTACCCTGTTTCTGGTGCCAGTAAGTACAGCTAGGAAGATACAGTCAGATTGTGTAAAATGATGGTTCCTAATGTTGGAGAAGGGTCAAGCTATAACCAAAATGTCATAGGTGCAGAATGACCACCAATCCCTAGCACCTCAATAGAGGTGTACAGGATGAAAAGCAATGAAAAACTACCCAACCATCTCCTTAAGCATGGGTGCTGCTTTACTGGGGTTAAAGGATAGGGAATTTGGGAGAAGATGAACACTGTAATCTAAATCCTGACACCTCAGACAAATGGGACAAGAAAAAGTCTAGCTGGCCTGGAGATCGCTCTAGACAAATTTTATGTCACGTGGCATGTCAGCAAGAGCTGTGTAAAATGGAAAAAGAGGGTTTCTCCAATGTGAAGCAAACCCAGTCATGATTAAAAGGAAACAATCAAGATTAAAAAGATTAAAGGATTAAAAGGAAACAATCACAGCACCGAGAGACTGCGACATCTTTAGGGAAGAATGCCCAAGCGCAGGCGCCTCCAGTGCACCTGATTTGATGATAAGTGGAGAAATGCAACAGCCAAAAGAACCAGAAAGAAGCATATAAAACTATTTTACTAAGAATAAAGTTCTTAGTAAAAGAACTCACCCCATCACTTGAGGTCTGCCTCTGCTAAAACATTTCTCCTGTATGTTCATTGATTCTGAATATTAAGTAAGTCCTTCCACAATTGATTCCTGGGGCCTAAGGCATTGACTCTGAGGAAGCAAATGAAAAACAAGGGCCTCAAAGTTCAGGGAATTATAGTAAATTAAATTTAATGGGAGCTGCTGTGAACATTACAACCACAAAACAGTGCATCCGCAAACTATGAGCAGGAAGGGTGATGGATTTCTATTTTCTGTAAAGTAGGCTATTCTCAGGTTTGAGAATGAGGAAGAGATTGATGAAGAGACAGAAAGGAAACTAAATGGTGTTTGTTAATCAAAGTATCTTTTTAGTAAGGAGACCTTTTTCTCAGCAAAGCCGTAAGTGATACATCAGTTCGTGAACTTGATTCTTTCCACTATTCTGGTCATAAATTGAGTTGGACAAGAATCAAATCAAATTCAATGTTTAAGTTCAATGTTGACCTTATGATAAAATTTGCTTTGGTTCTCATCCAGTTTGGTCTGCTACCAGAACTGGGGAGAGACCTGAGTTTGCAAACCAAGGCACCACTGTAACTCACCTCGGAAACTCACAGAAACTCATCTGATGCAGACATGCGCAGCCTATTAGCTAGGGCTCTTGGACAGCACGCACCATTCGGGTTATCTATAGTTACAAGTGAACATGTAACTATCCCCAAAACGAAACTATAAACCTCTGGAAGTAAGGGAGAGGACTCATTCACTCAGCACCATGTGCCCCACAGCTTCTGAAAGAACCCGTATCTGTTAATCTCCAACATGCCAGGGACCCTGTAAGATAGTTGGGTCATATCCCTAGGGGATCATCCCAACTACTCTGCAAGATAAAGGGGCTTCTTTTCACATTATTGAAGCACTAAGCCTTACAGCAGTAACTAATTCACCCAAATTTGTGCACTGACCGAGCTAAGGTCCAAAGCCCATGCTCTTTCCTCCTGTCAAATGCTGTTCAGGTCCTCTAGTAAGAACTCTGATAACAGTAATAGCCAACTGTGTCAAGGCCTTTCTCAAAGCCACGTCCTGTGGTACATGCTTTACAGGTGTTATTTCAATTAATTTCCTCTGCAGCCCAAGAGAGCAGTAGTGTCATTAGCAGATAAGAAAACTGAGACCCAAAAGGCTGAATATAATTGCCTGAAATTTTAGGTCTCCTAGTAAGTGGTGGCATCAAGGTGTTAACTAGCCTGTCAGATTCCAGAGTGTGTACTCTTAACCATTCTCCTATATTGGTTTCAAAATATAAATATTCACACTCACACACACATTCACATACTCACACTCACACACCACATTACGTGTTTTGAGCAACTATATCAAGCCACATTTTTGTGACTTTTGTAACTGAATTATTCTTACAACCCTCAGGGCAATGCTGGTATTCAGTAATTTATAAAATGAACAAGTAATTGGAGATTTAATTTTAAAAAAAGAGAGCAGCTGGGCATGGTGGCACATACCTGTAATCCCAGTATGTTGTGAGGCTGAGGCAGGAGCACTGCTGTGAGTTTGATCCCAGCCTGGGCTACACAGTGAGTTTAAGGCCAGCCTGAACAGCATAGTGAAACTGTCTCAAAAAGACAAAAAACAAAACATGAAAAACAAAAGACAGAGAGACAGAGCATCACAAATATCGCTAATTACCAGCATAAGAAAAATCCAAAAACTCTTCTGTACTGTGTTTGCATTGGCAACATGATGGGTCCCACACTACTGCAGACCAGGAAAAATAAATGACTAGTAGAAATAAAAAGGCATGTGAGAGTCATCAGATAATACAAAGAAAAGATTTTAGTTTGTACAGTGAGTGTTGTATCAACTCCGTAATGACCCAAGTATCTTAAATGAACTGCACCAGCCAACCAGCTTGTACAAACAAAAGGAAAGGAAGCCTCGACTTAGGCTCAATTTTGCATCAGCAACAAAGTCCTCCCAAGTGGATGACAAGTCCATAGGATGTCCAGGTGAACCTGAGGACGATATGGCATTCTTGGGATAGTAAAGAGCTTTGGATAAAATGTTAAAATGCCTTGGTTCCTCCTCTGGCTTTTCTAGCTTGGAGTAGTTTGTGCTGGCCATCAAGGATCTCTGCAGGGCTGTGAGACTCACTTTGGCCAGTGAAGTATGACCAGCAGTGAGACACCACTTTCAAGCAGAGCCTTTAAGATCAGTGCATGCCTTGCAAAGCTCTGAGCTGTCACGATCACAACTGACGTAGAAGGCATTTATCAGGTACCTCGAGTTACTACATAAAACGGCATGGAGGAGAGCCCTAGCTAACCGTGGAAACTGTTAGCTTAAAACAAATGTGCGTTTGAAGCTACTGAAATTATTGTTGTTATTACTGCAGCGTAACTAGCTCAACCAGATTAGTTTAACAGCTATTGAACTGTGTAAGCCTGGGAAAGGCATTTATTTTACTTTAGTGAGTATCAACTTCTTCATGAGGGAAGAGATCAGCCTAGAACAGGAAAGGTTAATCTGGGGGGGCCATGAGTGGCTGTCAGGGTGACAATGCACCAAAATAAATAAATAAATGAATAAAGCCAAAATTATAGGTAAAGTGTGTATGTGTGTGTGTGTGTAATGTACTTGCATGTGTATAGGTGTGAAAAAAGCAGCAAGAGAGAGACAGAACATGCATTTCTCTTGGGAGAGGCTTCATAGTATTTTTCAGATGTTAAGAAGGCCTGTATTACCAAAATGAGGTTAAGAGCTTGGATAATCTCTAAGGCCATTTACAGCTTTAATGTGCTTTGTGGCGTCAAGAATAGGGAAAAATAGCTAATTAGGTTCCTCTCCGAACTGGTTATTTCAGGACTTGCCTCAAGTCAGATTTTATTAAGGTTGTTTTTCAGTAATTATGTTTAAGAGTTCTGCTTAATAGAATTACAAATAGCAAAATCTCAGGAGGTATTCCTCAATGAAAAGTCGAGCAATTCTCTTTAACCAGAAAAGGAAAGTTTCTTCAAAAACTGAAAACAAGGACTCAGATAAATTTCGCAGAGGCACAAAGGTGGATCTATTCCTTGTGGGATAAGGGGGTCGCCCCTCCCAAAATACCTCCTCACACGTAAGATAATGCCCAAAAGGCTGGAGGGTAATAAGCTAGCTGGATGCAATGAATTCTTTTTAACATGATAGCTGGGTATACAAGGTTAAGAGAGCGGACTCTACAGATAGACAGTCTGGGCTTAAACCCCGTAGGTACCTCTGAATCTCAGCATGCTGTTGGGGCACACTTACTTCATCTAAAAATAGGGTCACTAATATTCAGTTGTCACAGGGGGAGTCTGCTCAGCAAATACAGTCATGCATGGCAATTAAGGAGAGTTTACTGAGGGACTAGATGTCAAGCCGTACACAGGGTTAAGAGAAACCAGCAAGGCACACTGGAAACACTGAGATGGGTTAAACCAAAGATCATTTTATAATTTCCTGATCAGAAGGAACACGGAGAGAAAAGGTCACCATAAAAAGCAGGCAGCTGTACCTATAGGGGAAAGACTATATATTAGGAGCTGTGGCTTCCAAAGGAAGTAGATACCATGAATCCCTGGTCTAGCAAGGAGGGAACCAGGAGAAGTGCTGGGATCTTCTCCTTCCTGTATCCAGTGGCAATTCCCATCAGTCAAAACCAAGCAGAAACCGATTGATAAGGTGTTGGAGAGCACTGAGCCTGGATACATATGCAGGGCTGTGGCGTGGCCCTGGCATGATGGCATGATTGAACTGAGAATGAGGAGATGCCTCAAGGGGCAGGACAGGCCACAGCTGAGGCCACCTGGAGACTTTCTGGATAGTTTTTCTTAATTAGCATTGTCTAAAGGGTCCTTGAACCCTTCCCAAATGCTGTTCAAGTTTCCTCCATTGTCCACTTAACTCCCTACTTGTTGATTAAATATGGGCTGTCTGGCATCATTCGGCCGGCTAGCAGAGTTATGAACTCTGCTGAGGATTTCACTCTTCCTGCAGCCCTAAAGACTATGTGCGTCACATTCTTTCTTTGCTGTGCAACCATTTGGGGGATTGTGGGTCTAAGAACAGACCCCAACAGCAAGGGATCTGTTGAGATGGTCTACAAAGCCAGGCTCCTGGAGTATGGAAGAGAATGAAAATGGACAGAGAAGATGGAGGAGAAATGACCTGAATACAGCTCCTTTGCTTGGAGCAGAGGGCCAGGTGTTACAGGGCTGCTCCTGAATGCTCTGACTCAGGATAAACCAGAATACTGTGCTATGGGAACATGGGGTCTGCACCTCCTCTGTGAGTCCAGAAGGCTGCCTAGGGCTGCTGTGCTCAGCTTTGGAGTGTGACGACACCAGCTCTCTGTTGACTCTTTCCACTGCAATCCCAGCAGGCAGCTCCTACCTTCTGGCTGCTTAGGATAGATGCCATTCTATGTAGCAAGGTCTACGACACAATCAGGTTCTTATGCACATATCCAGGAGGTAAATTTCCTTCTAGGTGCCAAAATACAGAACTTTCTGTTTAAAATGCAGGGTGTAGTGTTTGGACTGTCTGTGCTCTGCAGAAGTTTTCATATTAAATTATGCAGAATCTTGTTTTAAAAAGACATAAATAAATTGTTGATGGGCATAGATATGAGTGGCTATGGAATTGGCTGCAACACAAGGACAGGTTTTGGTTAATCATTTTCTGATTGTACTCTGCAAAAGTATCTTGCCCCCAGAGAAAGATTGAGAGACTATGACGTCCAGGGCTTATAACCCATCTACTGTCTGTGAGACTTATCTGGGGTCAGGCACCCAGTGCTTTTACCCACCCATTCTCCTCTGACTTTTCCTGGAAAAAAATGTCTGTCCTCCAATAGAAGATGTTTGGGTGGCCCTATGCATATGTAACCTGAGCTTAACCTGGGATACTTAGATTCTCTTCCTTGGGAATATGGACCTGAAAGAGAATGATACAAGTTTGGGGAAGTGATTGGAGAATCAATCCAATTGATAGAACACCCTAGATCATTCTTACTTTTTTCTCGCTTCCTCAAGAATAAACCAAGTAAAGTCAGATCCTTGTCTGCCAAGGGCTGGTGATATAGCATTGTCTTCTGTTTCCTGAGATGTTCCTTACCTTATAATTTACTATTTTTGGGCTTAAGTTAGTAAGCCAGACCCAAAAATATGGTCCAAATTTGAAGACTGACAAAAATAATGACCTGGATAAAGTTTTAGAAAGTTTTTGCTTTGCTTTACCCCCACGCCTGCCAAAAAGCAACGTAAGCAATGCAAAACAGAAAAGATAAATGTGAGCAACAGGTCTTAGAGATTCTCCTAGGGATGCAGTGAGTTCAGAGATCAGCACATCCAATGTAATGTGGGAAATTTGCTTTGTATACTCTTTTGTCTACACAAGGACTGAGTTGGTACCCAACGAGCTTCCCAACTGTGGACACAGAAGAAGACTTTTGCTTCTCCACAGTGGCTTGTTTCCTGTCAGGTTCTGTTGAGCCCATAATAGATTTGGCCTCTGTCCCTATCAAGCATCCTGATGCATACAGCTGGGGTATACTAGTTCCTCTGTCATCTGAGCATCACGTAGACCCCATGGAATCACCCATAGTTCCTTTTTGCATACTCTTCAGGATTATTATGGGGAAGACATGTTTGTATGTATTATCACTAACCTTCTTAACAGCTCACCAGGGTAAGAATTATTTTGTTATCTTACAGAAGAATAAAATAAAGGCTCCCATAAGTGGACTTCACTTGCCCAGCATCACAAAGAGAGCTGTTATGCTGCAGAATAAGAATTCAAACCCAGATCTACCTGACTTTAAAATCCTCATTCCTGCCCTTCCCACCTTGGTCCTAGCACTGATTTTAATCCAAGTCTTTTCACCTTTTGCCTCTCTGTAGCCATAGATGAAGGGTTTAATTGAACCCTTACATAAGATTGACAGGCTGAGGTAAATGGGAGCTGAATGAGAACATCAGGTTAAGTAAAAACAGTTTGTGCTGTGAACTATCTACTTCTATTATTTTGTGCTTTTCAATGGGTACTTGTTTCTCTTTTTTCCAAAATGAATCTTCAGCACTCTCTTTGGTTTGGAATTGAAAATTCTCCTCCCTACTCTGATCTAGTGACAAGCCACAGAGGGAAAAGTTTATCTTATCTCTATGTGCATTTCTATATTTTTTCTCTACAACTGCTCTCCAAAGTCTCAATGGATGCTTCTGTTTTCAAATTTTAGCCAAAATATCTCCTGCATGATAGAAAATTGCAGGAATCACCATCATTATTAACTGAGTCTTTTTATGCTAATTCAGCTACACATTCTAAGCTCTAAAATAGCCAGAAACCTAGATGAAGGGGCTTTTCTGTCTCATTTTCCCAGTCTCAGGTGTGTTCAGATGACCAAAAAATGCAAACTTCTGTGACCCAGGTGACAAGCTGCATCAGAAAATCTGTCCTTTTAACAAAATGTAAGACCAGCAGCTCTGCCCTTCCCCCACTCCCAAGGTATAGGTTTTCATCTCAGACAAAGAAATAACTGGATTTCTGCACTGTGCTCTGTGATCTACGCTGCCAGCTGCATGGCTCTAA